GCCCATCTTAGAATTATCTCTTCCTCCTTCTCTCATTATTTCTTTCTCTCTTTCTCCCTTTCACTCACTTTCTCTCTCTCCCAATCTTTGTTTCTCTTCCTCCTCCCCGTCTTTCACTTTATTTATAATTCCTCAATAGTGACGTTTTTTTTGGTTTGGGGGGGCAGTTTTCTGTCTATTTTGTTGATTATTACCTTCTTCACGTTCACCTTTCGAACTCTGTCACTTTTCCCAGATTATTTTTAATAAAACCTTCCTATTCTAGGACACACACACACACACACACTCTCTCTCTCTCTCTCTCTCTCTCTCTCTCTCTCTCTCTCTCTCTTTATTTCTCTCTTTTCCCCCGCCTTCCTCTTTGTTTATTTCACTCTGGAATTCCTTACTAGTGACGTTTTTATTTTGTTTGGCTTTCTTAAATTTTATTAATTTATTCTTTCTTCACGTTAACCTTTTCTATTCCTTCAGTTTTTCTTACTTCCTTGAACTCGAACTCTCTCTTTCTCTCTTTCATTATCCCTCGCTTTTCTCTTTATCATTGCTTCCCTCCCTTTCTTCCACACTCGGCCTTTTCCTCTTTCTCAAACTTTCTAAATCTTTTTTTTCCATTCTCTCTGTCTTCCTCTATAGCACACTTTATTTATGTCCATATTTCTCCCATTCTCTTTTTCATTTTCTTTCATCCTTCTCCGAAATGAAAATTATGGTCGAATGGTTTTGCACTCCGAAACTAAACAAAAAACTTCCTTCAAGATTTTAGCAAGAAAAAGAATCGATTTCATCTCTTTTCATTCCATTCTCTTTGAATTTTGTACTTTTCAATCGAATTTCTTTAATTTAATTTTAATTAATTTTTTTTTTCAATTTTTAATTCGTCATTTCTATTCGCTAATTCTTAAGGGAAACAACTTTTTGTCATTGTTTCGGATTTATTATTATTCCTTTCGAGAGCTATTTCTTTACAGATTATTTAGTTTATCGAAAATGTCTCTATTTTTAGTTTGATCGATAAGTTATCCAATTCTTTTAGTTCAGAGGATTTCAATGCGTAGTGACGTTCCTCTTCGGGCGAAGATGTTTATTCTATCGTCGGCCAAGACAACATATATAAAATCAATTTCAGAAATGTCTTAAAACAAAAACAATTCAATGTCAATCTGAAAGTTTTGAAATTACAGGTGAATAAATAACACGTTTCATCAGGTGCGTATGTTTTTCCGATTTGTAATTGCAAAAATAGTTCACGAATCAAAAAGCATAATTATTAAAAATAATAATTAATAATTTGAATAAAAGAAGTTATACTTCTGTATTTTCGTCAATGTTGAATAATTTCAGCAGATAAGATTCAAATACACTTTTTGACTACATTCACATTTTCAAACTTAGCTATTTAATTTAATACCAAACTAACATGGCCGACGGTCTCGAAAAGGACTTCCAATCGGTTGTTGACTGGGACAGGAAATGGCTGGTTAACTTTAATGCCTCAAAAACAAAACTGTTCTCTATTACCCACAGAGAACCCTCCTTACCTCCTATTTGAATGTCTGATGATCAACTCTACGATTGCACCTCTCTGCGACTGCTTGGTCTCACACTGTCCTCTGACCTGAGATGTAAAAAATACATTGAATCAATAGCTTCATCTACCGCAAGGAAAGTTGGTTCTCTGTGTCGCGTCAGAAAGTTTTACTCGCCTGAGTCCATCCTTTAAATCTATAAATCAACCATTCGCCCTTGCATGGAATACTGCTGCCATATATGGTCTAGAGGCCGCGCTGTTACTAGGTTAGCATCTCTGTCCCACCCTTTCACTGTCGAAACGGTTAAATGTGGCCGTCTCTTCTACTTTAATAGATTCATGTCTCGCACTTCCTGTCCGTGAAACTCCCTTTCCCTTACTTGCTTCCCTGATAACTATAATCTCCAACTATTCAAATGCAATGTCAATCGACATCTCCAGATACCTTGATCTATTCCCCGTCCTTCTCTTCATCTTTTCCTTTATCACACCTCTTTACTATTGCTCCCACTCTCTGTAACTCCTTGCGTGCCAGTGGCACAACCGCCTTTCTTAGGGTGAAAAGCTTTAAAAAAAATCTGTATTAATGGATGTAAAGAGCATGGTGTGCAAAATATCATGGAAGGGTAGTGTGTAAAGATAATTATAAGAGGCGCCGCTGTAACTTAACTTCATAGGAATACCCGTACCTATATAAGTTGTGCTCTCGGATTCTGGAGAGCCAGATAGAACACCGGCTAGGTGTTGTATAGCCACCTCATGCTGGGAGGTCAACGGCGCCAATTCGATAATAATGTTGCATGTCGACATGTACTAACTATTCAGTGGGGGTCGTTCCCCTCACTGGGGAGCCGTTTCAAACACGAAAGAGGACATATCTATATTGCTTGACGGTTAAGATTCGATTCACAGAAAAGCCTTTCTCTCTATCATTCCCACCCTAGCTCAGACAATTGGCTTCCTTATTATGTCTTACATCTGTCCCCGAAGGTCAACTGTCGGAAGTCGGGGCTGAGATACGCTTCTCTCTAAAAATAATACCCTGTTAAACTATTATTTATCATTGGTTGCTCATACCAAAATGACATGAATTGCCCGGGCATTATACTAGGTGATAGATGAGAAATGTAATTTTTGAAATTGCAGTCACATTTCATATCCCTGGATCTACTGCGTCATTATACGCACCGTAAACAGCATATTGGCTGATATCTTCACTCCACAAGCTCATATCTCTTGTAGCTTTTAGAAAGCTTTCTCTCTTTGGCATACCTCCTACCTGACCGTTCCCCCAGCCACTCATAAAATTCGTCAGGTATGTCGCCTGATGCCCCCCCTGTTCCATTCGCCTTCCATATGTCCTTGAGCGGCAATTTTTCATGCCCCCTCTTCCCTCTTTATATGTTCATGAAATTTCAGCTCTCTCTTTCTGATTCTGAGTAGGTGAAATTTTTCACACGGTTTTCTTCCACACTTATTCGTTGCTTGTTCACTCCGTTCGTGATATTCTCAGTATCCTTCAGTAGAGTCATATTTTTGTTACCTCCGGTCTTTTTTACATAGGAGGATTAGAGAGTATATAGTAGTTCAGTAATCTAACGAATTTTCCCTGTTTCTTTGGCCCTTCATGCTCCTGACCTGATGCATTTGAATAGAATTTCTACCGGTATCAAATTAAGTCCACATTCCGTGGAGGATATATCCAGCTGGTCAAATCCGGCTTCACTAGCTTTCTTGTGATATAAGAGCAGAAAACTCATCAGAGTTCCCCTGTTTGCACCATGACACCAGACACAGACGCCCATTCAATTAGGTGCTTAACGACGCTAATTGTAAACTTGGATACTATAAATGTATGACACGATCCAAAGAGTCATGTTTCTGATTGTTTCAGTGGGAAAGATTGGGTATGGCGTAGATCCCATTAAGCTATGGACCCCAGTTTTCAAATATGCACACTGATCATGTTTTGCTCCTATAATTGTGTGTAATAGTGTGTTCAGCTGTCATGAGTGTGGTCAGTTGCCTCGCTTATACACGTCATTAACCAGTGATTACTACTTTCCGGCCATGTGATGTATTCTGACAGCAATCAATCATTCCGGTAAGACACTGCATAGTATCATCGGCCAGAAGTTTCCAAGAATTGATTTCAGGAACTTGACTCTTCCGAGGAATGGTGTGAACCCCATCGACGTAGTGGAGAACCTGCATGTAAAACATTTTTCCGATGACATACGTGGAAATATTATATTGAATCAGCTGATAGGATTCATTGCTAAGAAAGTTCGTACACTGCGTCGTGCTAGACAATTTTTCTTGCAATTTTACTAACATATATAACTCTACTATTCTTCTATTCATTGAATATTGCTGTCACATCTGATGCGACGCTTAAGCTATGTATTTAGAGATTCATTATAAAATCCAAAGAATCAGTTCTTACATGGCATCCCAGCTTCACTCATATTTCCCACAGCCATAACGTATGCTCGCTGTGGCTTTTCTATACATATTTTCATGGTAATTGTTTTGATGAGCTTTCCTCTTTAGTACCTAAACTTTAAGAATTTAAGCCTAGTACTAGATTGGCGGCAAGATCTCATTTTATAGTTGAAATAGTTAGATCTAACCGTAAGTTCTATGTTAACAGTTTCTTCTATCGCACTTCATACTTGTGGAACTCTCTTCTGGCCTCTTGCTTTTCAGTCTAAGTTGATATGGGAAAATTTAAATACAATGTCAATCGTTATTTTCTGTCTTCTGAATTAATGTTTTATTTAATAAAGTTTTTCTCATATTATTTCACCTTCAGTACCCCTTTACTCTTAGTGGCTTTATTGCCTTGCTTGGGGTGAAATGATTAAAAAATAAACATACTATATATACCAATATTAGAGAGCTGCCGACAGTTATCGGGTGGGTATAGCTCAAATTCTTCCGAGACGTCTTCAGACAAACTCTGAAATCGATGCAATTACCGAAAAGAAAATGAAAACATTTGCAGATATTCTCAAAGAAATGAGACATTCGAATATAGATAATAAAAATATCATAAAATGTTATATCTTTTAGAAAATCAAATTCAAAATGTAACACCAAAGACTATCAAAATACAAATTCTATGATGTATAACAACACTTCGGTCCGGGAATGGTGCATAGTATCTGTTCTCCTCGTTATACCAGGGAGACGGTGCCTGACCCCTGGGATTCCACTTCTGCAGCAGTACCTACCTGACTGCACTAAAAGCGGAAGGGTAGTTGGAATACTTGGACGAAGCGGCCTATTATTCAGATCAATCAACATCACTACATGCTGTCAATCTGCGGGTGTTACAACATTTTCTTTCTACTATGCTTACTGCCACATCACGTTGAAATATTAGTCCCCTTACGATCAGCGAAGTTAAGCAACGTCGGGGCGGATTAGTACTAAGGTGGGTGAACGTTTAGGAATATCAGGTGCCATAAGCTTCTGGTGGTTTAATAGGTAATGGCTCAGGATTGTTAATCGGAGATCAGAGTCCCAATTCCAGTTGGGTTCGTTATATTCGCTTACAGGGCAATACGCTTGGGAAAGCTATGAATCCAGGTCTTCTGACAACAGCTATGGGTTAATTAGTAATACTTGTATCACTAAACCATTATTATCTCAAACAAAAATTCTTACACTCTAAAAAATAGCTCCTGGCTTTAAATAACCTGAAAAGGGTTGATAAGCCGTAGAAATCAAATAGATACGTTAACGAAAGTTAAGGGATCAAACACTCCGAGTAGGTTTACCGCACGAGGGTGCACCAACCTAATCATTCCTCCATATCCAGATAGATAGATAGATAGATAGATAGATAGATAGTACATTAATACGTATATACAGAGCCGTTTGACATATGTATTCACTAAACTTATTTTTATCAGGTACTAATATCTGGAGCTAAAAGTGTGTTCTGTTAAACTTCAAATTCGGAAGGAATACTGGCAAAGAAATATTTGATAATGTTTAATGAATATTTAAAATCCGACCACTGATTTCTGGCAGTGGAAACAATTTCAGACGCCAATCAGACCACCTGGTTATTTTATATAGGCATATACATGAATACAATGTAAATCCAAACAAAGCAGGCCCTATGTTTGTCCCCAGTCTTGCCTGGATGTTCTATCGGGACTCAAGCTCACACCAGATCTCAAGTAGAACTCGTACATATGATCCATTGCTTATTCAAAGTGTTCAAAGGTGTTTTCCCGGTCTTTTGAGATTGATTAGTTAATTATTTCCATCCTCCAACCACAAACGAAACGTTGATACCCTCTCTCTAATGCAATGCCATTTTCATGGCATGCGTTCTGGCGAACTACATTCCTTGGTACCACCAGTCCACATCTTCACTGCTAGGATCGCTAAACCACGTACACTGAGTTGACTCAACTTCATTCATTTCTTATTCCGTTCGTAAGGAGGAAATTCAACTCAGACTGCGTCTTCTCCAGAAATGTTAAATTTTGGAACAGACTCCCGAGGGGATAATTACCTACATCTACAAATCTCTTCTAGTCTTAGGTCAACCCTTATCTATCCTTCTTTTCTTTTTATGTGCCCTGTCCTTTCAGGGCGTAAGCGATCATGTCTCTCCACCTTCCTCTATCCCTTGCAGCTCTCAACAAGTTCCTTTCCTCTGCTACCCCCAACTCGCAGACCACCTTCTGTCATCCACTTGTTTAAGCCCGCTAGTTATGTCATGCGTTGTTTTCCCTTGTCTCTCTTTCCCTCTATTCGATCAGTAAGTATCAGGTTCTCCAGGCCCTCCTTCCTCATTATGTGTCCCAGAAACTTCAGATGCCTCTTCCTGATGTTAAGTATAAGCCTCCTCCTTCTTTGCAACCTCTCATCGTTGCTCACACGCTCGGTCCATGATATCCTTAGCATCCTTCTGTAGAACTATACCTCCGTTACCTTGAGTCTCTTCATCTTTGAGGAGACCGCCCAACATTCGCTGCCGTAAAGAAGGACACAGCTCAATATTCTTTTCTTTGTTACCAAAGAAATCTTCCTGTTTCTTAATACTCTGCCCAGCCTTTGGAATGTGTCCTTGGCCATCCCAATACGTCTACCTATCTCTGTGTCGTACTTACCGTCCTCTGTCAAGACGCTTCCCAGATATTTAAACTTCCGCGTCTGCTTGATTCTAGTGTTCTCGACCTGCAAATCGCATTTCGTGCTCATCCTTTTACTGATGTCCACGCATTCTGTCTTCTTGTAGTTTATGCTTAGTCCTTTCTTCTCACTCTCCGTCGCTACCTTCTGTAGGAGATTTTGCAATTTCTTTTCCGTGTCTGCTATCAGTACTGTGTCATCTGCCCATATATATTTATAATATACACCTGTTGATCCCTCTTTGTACGCCCTTAAAACATCATTTAGTAATCCTCTATATTGAGTGGCTCTTGAGCCTTGTGTTGGTTAAACAATATTAAAAATAGAGCAACGTCTAACTGAAATGTCCTAACTTCTTGTTATTTGGTATTGATGAAAATGCTAAAATTAAACAGTTTCCAAATCATAAATAATATAAAAAATAAAATTCATATTTGAAAGTTTGATGGAAAATATATTTCTGCCCCAAATCAATTTAAAGGAAAGAGATTTTGATGATCATTTTGTCTGAATATTTTTCTTTTCGGTTTTCTCCACATATTTTATGCAACTTCAATTATAAAGTGCCGAAAAATAAAATAGCTAAATGACCGGTCAGACATTGGTGTTTTATCAAGTATGACAGTCTTTAGCGATGATCTATATTTGCTATTCTGGTTGGAGAAATCTTTGCATCTTTTCTCGATCTTTTTCATCAATCTATAAAATATAGAAATAAGATGCACAATTTGGTTCTGGCGTCCGGTTATGTTGGCTTGATGATTGGAAAGATTTTATCGCAATGGAGAAAAAATTGTTAAACTTAGAACTGACAAGCATTTTGTCTAGACCTATTACAATTCTTTCCAAATAAAAAAAATAAGATTCTTTCTCATAAACTGTCTTCAGGAATTCGACATTTCAACTTTGATTAAGTTTGCTGAAATAGTTTATTTTCCAAATGCAATATCACCATCGTCATCGTAGTTATGGCTGTGGTCCTTACTAACCCTGAGAAAACATATACAGAAATAGAAATGAACAATAAAGAAAATCACTGAAAATCATACTTTCTTGTATTGTTACAAATTTTCTTCTTCATATTCTTACACCTATGGGACGAATACACCGTTAGGTTGTAATAATTGCGGGAAACATTTTACTCTATATCCAATAAACTGGTATTTTAATGAAATTTAAAGGATTTTAAAAAATGTAAATTTAACAACCGAAATGATAAGTTTGAGGAAATCGGAAAATTTTCTCCCCAAAATAAATGTCCCTTGTCGATTCGTCACTTAAGAACAAATATCCAGTTAATAATGAGGTGATTTCGATCCTCAATGGGTTCACCACACTTGTGGGCTAGTTAAATGCTTTTTAAGCAATTTCCTTTGGAGAATGCTGGAGGCACATAGAAGAGGGGCAATTTTATTCCATTAAACGCAGAAAAGAGTTTGGTGGCTGCTGGAATTTCCGTCCTTGCAGAGCTACCGCTTTTCTTCTGCTTTTTTGCGGTATGATTTTCTGATAAACATCGAATCATCTTACCTATTTTCAATTTCACTCTCATATATATATATATATATATATATATATATATATATTTATTAAAGACATTTAAAGATATATATATATGTTTAATGAATGCCAGTTATCAGTTATCTCCTGTTAATTCCCCTCTCCAAGTTCTGCACTGCCTTAACCGGATATTGAACTCAGACTCTTTGGGTCCTGTCACTGGATCTAACCAACTCCTTTATCCATTGTGCCATGTGTCCCTGAGGACACATGGCACAATGGATAAGAGTGTGAGTTCAATACCCGTTTAAAGCAGTGGAGAATATGGCACGTGGAACTAGAACAGTCTACCCCAGTGAGCGAAATAACGCGTTCAGTTTGACATTCCAACAACCTGAAGAAGGCCGGAGCGTACAACGGCCGAATCGTTGTAATAAATATGGCGATGAAGATGAGGACAATAGTCCGAATAATGTAAATAGTGTACATAATACCTCATCTCAGATATATATATATATATATATATATATATATATATATATATATATATATATATATATATACTACGTGGATTTAGCCAGGTAAAAACATTTCGAAATTACGAATAATCCTGATTTTTAGAAAGTTGAATTTGCCTTTCGACGAGACGTCGTTGGAAATTTGAGTATCCATATCATGGTAATCTGAACGATCCTGCAATTTAAATTCTCTGCATTTAGGCAGCAAAATGTCTTTAAAGCAAATTTTATTAAAGGCAACAGACATTTTGTGTCGATTAATTTCATTGATCGAATTTTCCAAATTACGAACAATCCTTCACAGATAATGAGAAAATTCCTTCAGAAATTTTCCTTTAAGATTTTTTCTAAACTCAAAATTCCGACACAATCTCGTTGAAAAGCAAATTCAACTTTCCAACAAATATATTTAAATCGCGTGAAGAAAAATTTCTGGGGCCATTTTCTTATCATCTGGCAAGTATTATTAGCAATTTGGAAAAGACGATCGATAAAATTAATCTACACAAAATTTTTATTATCTTTAATGATATGAATAAAGACAAAAGGAATTTTTTTTTCTTTACCAACGCGTTTCGTTAACAGATGCAAATTGATGTAATTCTCTGTAGTTTATCTGTAATAATACTTTAACGGTTTACCTTAAGAATATTTTTGAGCGTTCTTAAATTTGAAAAATTTTAAAGCTAATGATATTTTCACTTCTGTTTGTAAATATACAGTCTAACCCGGATATAAGAGAGTTGTCGGGACCGGAGAAGAAGTCTCTTATATCCGGGTTTGGTCTATTTTATATATGTACATTAACACAGGCTCTAATTTAGGAACAGAGAAAATCTCTCTTCTCTCCGGGTTTCTCTTATATACGGGTTTGGTCTATTTTATATATGTACATTAACACAGGCTCTAATTTAGGAACAGAGAAAATCTCTCTTCTATCCGGGTTTCTCTTATATACGGGTTTGGTCTATTTTATATATGTACATTAACACAGGCTCTAATTTAGGAACAGAGAAAATCTCTCTTATATCTGGGTTTCTCTTATATACGGGTTTGGTCTATTTTATATATGTACATTAACACAGGCTCTAATTTGGGACCAGAGAAAATCTCTCTTATATCCGGGTTTCTCTTATATACGGGTTTGGTCTATTTTATATATGTACATTAACACAGGCTCTAATTTGGGACCAGAGAAAATCTCTCTTATATCCGGGTTTCTCTTATATACGGGTTTGGTCTATTTTATATATGTACATTAACACAGGCTCTAATTTGGGACCAGAGAAAATCTCTC